GGAACTTGCCACTATCAGTAATGTAGAAAACATTATCAAATATATTAAATGTAAGAGATATAAGTTCAAGGAAGACTACTCTACCTCGATTATTGGCAAGCACACATTTAAAGAAAACGATTCCACATCTGAATTACAGAAAGGACATAAAATATTTTGGACAACAATACCCTTAATGTGGAATACTTATTCACCTTAATTAAAGAAAGGACATTCCAAACTGCAAGTCATTTTGAAAAATTAACGAGCTATAATTATCCACCTGCAAGATAAAAGGTGAAAAACATAAGAATCGAAAGAAATCTTGTATTAGGCCCCTGCATAAATTCATTAGAGCTTACGATTATTGCAATTCCTCCACCAAATAAGTTGAAGATTTGATGTCATGGGCCTAACATTAAACATATTACTATTAAAAAAAGTCATTAGATATCAATGATTCTACAAACAGATCAAAATATAACAAAAACAAACAGATCAAAACATACAAAATACAAAATCTTAACATATGCCAAACAAAAAGACATCTTTTAATTTTTGTAAAACATACATTTGTAAGAAATTATGCTTGAATAACACATGTAGAACAAATGCATCTCACTTGTCAAGAGCTTTTTCATGTACACACCTTTATTTGTTTTGAGGGCAAGGGTGTGAGGGTGACTCTGGATGGTAACAACTAAACATCAAGCATATTATAATTAGCTTCTACTTGAAGATGGCGGTCATCCAGAAATAAAATCTTCAAAATTCAAACAAAAGAACTCCAAACAAAATGTAGGGGGAATCTAGAAAATGAAAACTTCAATCAAAAATTGCTCAAAAAAAAATCAAACCTGAGAAATCCACTAGTATTGCCTTGTTTTAGAGATAGAAAGAGGAGGATAAAAAAGATCAAATCAGAGGGTATATCGTGTAGCTTTCCTTAGGTTTTTATTCAAGGGCCTAGCTTTGATAAGGCTCAATAGAGAGGAAGGGTAAATCAAACACAAAATATTGTTACAACACCAAAAAGACATAAAAACAATGTTGATATAAAACATAAACGCACCAAATGTGAAGAAATCCAAAGCTTCTAATGAACACTTGCCCTCATGACATCTTTTACACTTTCGTTTTCATGTTTTTGTAACAAAGTATTGACATCTTGTCTTTTAGAGATTTAATTGAGTAGAAACTTAAGGAGAGAAATTAGGGCAAAGTTTCAAATTAGAGAAAACAGAGGGTGTGATTGAAAGCTTACCTGGAGGACGTTGACTAGAGGGATCCAACTCAAGGTTGTCTCTGATCTGTAATGATAGGGTGCAAGCGAGAATGGAGAGGGAGAGTGGGTTGATGGAATGGTGGTTCGTTGGTAATGGCAGTGAGGCTAAGGAAGGGAGAGTTAAAATGGGTTTTAAATAGATTGTTCGAGAAGGATCAATTCAAAATTTAAATTAAATCATAGGTGAACGAAGATTGAGGGGTGATGAACAGCTGTCATTGATTGAGAACTTTGGTAATTTGGTATTATTTAATTTGACAAACAAACAAACAAACAGTTAAAGAGAGAGAAAGAGATGATCACACTTATTAGAATATTTACCAGCTTCTTTGAGAAGGATTACTTCGAATTCTTATGAATCTGTTTTTCATGAAATAGATTCCTCTTGCTTCTTGATCAATTTCTCAGTACACATCCATCAGGTGTTTCCGTTTAAAGAAAAACGCAGAGAAGGGCGAAGGTAGCCACAACCCAAACCCAAAATGGACGATTAAAAGATAAAATAAGAAAAATTAGAGGGTTAAACTTTATGGTTCAGAAGGAATAGTACTGGAGAGAAGGGAGCAGGTAATGGTTGTTCAATGACGGTGAATGTTGTGGTGTCTTATGTGAATGATGGTGTGATTTCAAAATCTGCTAAATGGGTGATGTTGAAACTCAAACATTTCTTCGGGTGGTGCTGAAAATCGAAGATGGCGGTCATTGGTGTCTAAATTTCAATCCTCGTCCATGAAATAAACACACACAGAGTTAGAGAGAGATAGTGGTGAATGAAGCCCTAAATAATGTCGCGCAACCTTAAATCGTTAAAGAAAACTCGATAATCAACTTGAAATTGTGAAGAAAAACAATGGAATCATGAATTTGTGAAGAAAAACTTACCTAGCTTGCAGGAGATATGGCGGGGGAGGCAAATGTTGATACGGGAACCATAAATGGAATAGGAGGGATATGGATTAGGGCTCTTATCAGAGAGTTCGAGAGAAGAGATGGTGAAGGGTTCTTCCACAAACAATGCCTATTGATTGACTGAGATAAGAGATGATATATAGAGAGACGGAAGAGACCAATTAGAGAAACAGAAGGAATTAAAGTGAGCAATTAGAGAGACATAATAGATTTGGGAGAAATGATGATTGATGGTTTTAGATGAAATTAGGGTTTTCCACAAGGTAGTACCGTTAGTCACAGTAAAATGAGACGTTTTCATTATGCTTAACATGACTGTACATCATGTTATAATAGGAATACCTCTTAATTTTCAAGAAATGGGCAATATCCGTAATAACATAGTAAAGATATATATATATATATATATATATATATATATATATATATATATATATATATATATATATATATATATATATATATGTTCAGGTTCATTTAAGACTATTCTAATTTTGTGAGACCGTAAGACCAAATCTAAAAATAATTTTAAAATGCAAAATAAATGGAAAAATCCAAAAATTGTTTTTTTAAATATTATTTTCGAAACTTGAATTAACTAAAAAAAATAAAAAAAATAATCCCTTTTTTTTTTTTTTTTTTGAAAAATACGTGAAATATTCTAAATAGAATATTACACTGACATATTCTAAAAAATAATTTTAAAATGCAAAATAAATAGAAAAATCTAAAAATTCTTTTTTTAAATATTATTTTTGGAACTTGAACTAACTAAAAAAAATAAAAAAAATAAAAAAATAATTCTTTTTATTTGAAAAATACTTGAAATATTCTAAATAGAATATTACACTGTACATATTCTAAAAATAATTTTAAAATGCAAAATAAATGGAAAAATCAAAAAAAAATTTTTTTTTAAATATTATTTTCGGAACTTGAATTAACTAAAAAAAATAAAAAAAAATAAAAAATAAATAAATAAATAAATAAAATAAAAAATGCGTCTCACGGTCTCACAAAATTAGGCCGTCTCACATGAACCTAACACTATATATATATATATATATATATATATATATATATATATATATATATATAGGTTCATATGAAATGAGTTAATTTTGTGAGATTGTGAGATGTCATCGTAGTCACTCATTTTGTAGATAAAAAGTCATTTAAAAATTGTAAAATAATTGAAAATTTTTGAATTTTTTAAAATATTTTTTTCATCATTTATATTTCCAAAAAGAAAATAAAAAAAAAAAATTACTGTTTTTTTTACATATCTAGCAAAATCTAGTAAAATACTAGAATATTCTGACATTCTACAAATTACATTAATATATTTGCAGTATAATATTCTATAAGAATATTTCATTTATTTTAAAAAAAAAACGATAATTTTTATTTATTTTTTTAGTTAAATAAAATGATGAAAATAATAGTTAAAGTTTTTTTTAATGGATTTTTGGTTTTATTTTACATTTTAAAATTATTTTTAGATTGTCTCTCTCTCTCTCTCTCTCTCTATATATATATATATATATATATATATATATATATATATATATATATATATATATATATAAGTTCCATAGAAAACTATAAATATTGGTTCTTCAAGGAACCGTTTTTTTTTTTCAAGTTTAGAACTTATTCTTTATCGAAAAAAACTAAAAATATCTAAATCCATAAATTAACATTGAGAATGTGAAATATATTTTTCGAATTCACCGTGTGAATTTAGATTTACCTTGTGAATTTTCAAAGATTCACATTGTGAATTTGACAAAAAAAAATTATCGAATTTGATATCGCTGGAAAAATGATAAAAAATTATGAATTTTTATATTTTTTATAAAAAATAAGTTATATATATATATATATAATCATAGTCCATTAATGAAATTCATCCTATAGATGTGATTGGTACGCATGTGATGGATGCTCGTATCATATGCAGACACCTACATGAACATATCAATATGTTGCTTTGTTAGGTTAAACACTAATTTTTTGAATTAGAAAATTTGAATAAAGACTATTTTGTTTGAATATTCAGATTTTTAGTTTGATTTTAAGCTGAATTAAATTATTATTTTTGGTTTTTAGATTAATGTTGATTTACAAAATAATAATTGAATAGTCCAAAAACACATAATAACATTTTATTATTTATTTTTAATATACATCTTTAAGTATTTGTAAAATTATAAAATTATTTATTTAATTATTAGAAACTTTCATCCAATATAATACATTAATATGTACTTCTTATCAAAAAATTTCCATCAATAAAATATTAAATTATAATAGATTTTTCTTAATAGTTGCTTATCAATTATAATTCATAATTAAAATGTTTTTTTATATTGTTATAGAGTTGATTTATATTTAGGTTATATATTTTTTTAAATGTATCTCCTCTTAAAAACCAAATTGTACATAATTTGGTTGGATCGGATTGGATTTTAATTTAGTTTACACTACTCAGATTCATATTTTGAAAACCGAAATCTATTTGTATTTATGTATTGGATCAAATTAATCCATAAACACCCTAAGTACCTTTACCTTGAATATCATTAATTTATTATATTGTTTTTATTGCATTTAGCCGTTGATGAAAAAAAACGTTAGTAGATCGTTTTTTTTTTTTTTACACTTAGAGAGTTGGCCATTAATAAATTGTAAATTTGTATACAACTATATTTCAAAAATTAATATGCTTTATGGTCCCAACATTATTAATCTAATCTATAACGTATTTTAATTGTATATAAAATTAGTAAAAATAGTTAATAGATTATAATTGTCTTCATTGTAGATTCAGGGCAATAACAAGCTCATACTATCGTGGAGCATTAGGTGCTATGCTGGTCTATGACATTACACGAAGGGGAACTTTCAAGAACTTGAAGAAATGGTTACATGAGCTTAGAGAATATGGAAATCGTGATATGGTTATTGTTCTTATTGGAAATAAATCCGATTTGGTTGACTCAAGAGAAGTTGAAGCTGAAGAAGGTCAAAGTCTTGCCCAGCTAGAGGATTTATGTTTTCTTGAAACATCTGCAAAAGAGAATTTGAATGTAGAAGATGCATTTCTCCAAATGATCACAAAAATCTTCGAAATTGCAAGTCAAAAAAGCCTTGAAGCCAAGGAAAATGACGCATCGAAGAAAGTTGTTGATGCTAGAAAAGAAATAATCTATGTTGTTGATGAAGTGACTGCCACTAAACAAACAAGTTGTTGTACAAGTTAGGAAAGACTACTTTGTTCATTTTGACCTTCAAGCTCATACATGACGTTAACAATGAATTGAACTTTATGAATTAGTAAAAAGATGAATGGTTATGTTAATAGAAAATATTGTTATAAAACCAAAAAAAATCATGTTGGTTTATAATATTCTTTGTTGTCAAACCATTGAAGCAATCTTGGCAAAACTCATAAGCAATGAGTGTAATTATATATATAATTAAAAGGAGGAGCACTTAGGAATAATAAAGTTTTGTCCTTCAAACTTTGTTCACAATTGTTCCTGATGTTAACACGTTTGGTCCCTTATTCTTTTATGTTACACCATTTCTCTACAATACTTTCTACAACTCAGCAATTTTGATCCATTCTTTAATATTAATTACAGCAAGCCACAATATTTTCTACAACTTGCTAGTTTTGGTTCATTCTTTAATATTAATTTTTGTTTTTCAACATCTAACCACCATAGTTTATATATTTTGTCAAATTTGTTCCCTTAAAAAAACATGAACCGTGAAATCTAAAACAACCAAGAAAATATTAAAAAATTTCCCAAACTGTAGCAACGTGAGGGCACACCCTCTAGTGGTATATTATATCAATCAATAATATTATTCAACATTTTTACACAAGTATTTATTGATAACAGTAAATGATATACAACTTTAATTTCTCTAATGAATTTTCAAACTACTCGGAGCTTGTTTTAGTCCTTCAAAATGGATGTAGGGTGACTTATGTTGGGTTAATCCAAAAGTATGGGACAATTTCAGTCTAGGGGCAACTTTGGAAACTTTCTTTTTAAGCGTTATTTTTGTTAGTTTAGGATACTATCCGTTTTAGTATAAATAAGGGTATAGGTTTAGATTTATTTGTTTAGGTTTTCCAGCAATACAAACTCTTGTTTTAATTATGAGTATATATATATATATATATATATATATATATATATATATATATATATATATATATATATATATATATAGACACTCACACTAAAACCCATGTATGTACTCGTATCGCATGGTGTCGTTAGTACTGATGAGTTTGTAGAAAACAAAATAGTATAATGCGAAAAAAAATTTACACTTAATAGGTATATGCATCCTATAAAATATCTATGTCATACACCTTGATAGCAACATACAGAAGTGCATAGAAATAAGTATGTGTCACTCAACAGGTTATCAACCTCAAGTCGCGTGCTAGTGATAACTATAAGGATCATTGTCGTTTGATTCTAACAACTCAAGATCAACATGCCTCCTACTGACTTCTTGACATATTATTTTTCTCTCAAGGAACATTCCTTGACGAAAAAACAAATACTCAAAAGTTTATGCGGATTTTCGACAAGAAAACACTTCGTAGAATATGATTCAGTTTATCTTTTGTTTCTCAATCAACGAAAATTCCAATTCTCAATGTGCTAGAGTAAGAAAACATTATTACTCCACATATTACAAGGTGTTATCATCCTTTTTAGTTTTGAAATGAGTTTCAAGATATGATTAGGATTTATAGTTACTAGAGTATGGCTCTAAAATTCGTTTGGAACAAAGTATGATTCATCCATTATCGAACCATTTCCAACAATGTTTAATTCCTCTTCTTAGTCATACAATAACACTAAGATGTTCTTGGAGAATTAGTTGTGATACAATTCCACAGTTACTAAGATGATCATAAAACATGACACGAAAATACTCTCCTTTCTTTTTAGATTGAAGATTCTTTTATCTTTATGCCTAATAGATTCTTCTATTTTTTTGTTACCCTTTGAATCTTTTCAAAAGTATTAGAATTTTGTTTAGTTCTATATACACTACAATTGGTACGGTACAGGGTTTGGGGAAAAAATAATTGGTACCATACCAATTCCACCACTAGTTCAAATAATTTGTATTATTACTTAAATGTGCAATGGTATATTTCCTTATATATATTTATCGTCTCTAAAAAGATAGGCCTTCAAACTGTACTGATGAACTAAAGGCATTAACATATGGTCTGTTGAATGTATATTCTTACACTGCGTACATAGTAAATCTTGTTCGATTTGTCATGCATAACCATGATCTCCGATGCACTACTCAAAATAGTGTTGTTGTTACATTAGGAGAAGATGGTACACTATTCTATGGTTAACTATAGGACATCATATAGTTGCACTATTTAAATGGTTATTCAGTTGTACACTTTCATGGTAAATGGTTCAATGTGTCATTAAGTAATGGTATGTCGGTAAAACATGATATGATGATCGACAATACATCTTAGCCACACAAGCTACATAAGTGTTTTATCTCCAAGATCCTATTCGAAACAATAACTAAAGAGTTGTGGAAGACATTCATCATCGAAAACTTTGGGTTCATCCAACTAGTGGTGTTGTTAATAAGATAGATTTCATGAACGACACTCGATCAATCGATTTTACCTTGGTTTTCAACATAGGCACCATTCCTATGCAGAGGAATTTTGGTGAAATTGGTGAATCAAGTGTGGTTCTTACTATAAACATGACCATTTCATTAATGATGCCAATAACGGTAGTGATACTTACTCTTCAGATAATGATAACAGATTCATTAATGATGACGTTGTACAAGTATAGTGTGGGACATCCCCAATTTCACGGCCAGAAAGGACCGAATTATTTATGCTTATTTAAAATTAGATTATCCTTTTTAAAGAATAATATTGCGTAATTTGTGCCCAAAAAAATGATAATGATAATATAAAAGCATTTTCAAAGAAATGTATTTTATTTATATTGAAAACGTTGGGATGTCATCGTCGATACAGTACATAAGCATAAACAGAAATAATGTAGGCCTTACACTAGTTCATCTAAACTAGTAGCCTATAAGCATCCATAAATCGCTCATCATAACATCACACTTATGCTCTCATGACACAACCTATATTACAAGAAACCGAGTGAGTCCGTGGTCAATAAGGTAACCATGAAGGGGACCGTCGGGGGGGGGGGGATAGAGTACATTTGGTCAACACTTAGTTTAAAAACACATACAGGTTGTGATCCTGCTAGCGTTTCACTGGAGTTTCTAGAATAGTCTGTGGTTTTCATCTATACTCTGCTAGACGACTGGATCATCTTTAAAGTGAAGGCCTCTCATCATCTATGTCATCTTTCATCTCTCATCTATATCATCTTACATCTACCCATCTTTACCTAGTGTATTTATAGGTAATAAAAATATTTATACAGTTTAAATCAAGAAAAACATGTATAAAAATCGTTCATCTAGCATAAATATCAGGAAACGTAGATAATATGTGCAAAGATCATGTAATTATCTTAAATACTTTTATATCTATGTGTAATATGAAAGTAACTATGCACTCACTTGCTAAGTTGATGACTCGAAACTCGGACAACACTTCGCTTTTGTACTTGGCTTTCCTTTTGATGTGACCTAGGTTCAATTAGCACTAAGTCTTAGGCTAATATTCCTTATGAATAAAGATAGCCTAAATCCCTCATTAATTCTAAACTCTACCGATATATAGCTGATAAGGTACAACCAGATATGATCATATCGAATGTAAGGTCCGTTTGGTATACAGAGTATACTGTTTGGAAATCCTACTTTAAATACCTCACTAATCTAGCCTAGACATCATCCCCATAAGTAGATCAATCAGTAATATGATATTGGAACTACTGACGAATCTATTTATAAATTCACAACAACGACTATGAATTTTAAATATAAGTTACACTAGAATAAAAAGAGTGTAATTTAACTTATAGAGATTCCCTTGACCAAAGTCTAAAAATTTCATTGTCGAAACTTTATGCTGATAGCTACTAGATACCAGGCTCCTAGGGGCTTCTAAATGTGCCAAAATATCCTAACTACTAAGGATAAATTTGGAACAAAAGAGTAGAAATATAGAGATTGAATTGAATGTTGTGGAAGGAGAATGATCTCGAGACATTTATTTATAGGCTGATAATTGACCATGCGCATCGTGCAAGGGCCATGTGTGCCGCACACAGGGTCGATGTTGCTTTTCAGGATTGCTGACACGTGGCGATCAATGGCTAGGGCGACGCAGTGGTTTCTAGAAGGACGTGTGTGGGGCGCATGCACGCGCGACGAATTTCAAACTTCAAAATTTTGTAACATCTTCATACGAGCTCCATTTTTGACGTTCTTTATATCCATGCATAGATATTGATGGGATCTACAACTTTCATTTACACTTTGTCAAATAATTTTGAATTTATTTATTTTACACAGGCTTAGACTGCTAAAGCATGTATAAAATGCATAACTTTGTCATCCGGTGTCTGTTTTTTTACTCTAGTTTAGATTGTTTCGGCTAATAATCAATCGATCTAAAATTTAATATTTGGGTTGTCTACTGCTACGTTGAATCTTAGAATAATTGTAACATCCTGATATCCGAGGTATGACATTTTGAAATATGGGCAAGAGTTTGAGTGGGGGACTCGACGAGTTGGCTCCTCAACTCGTCGAGTTGGGCCACAGCTTGGACTTGACGAGTCGGGTATCTAACTCGCTGAGTTAGCGTTGTGGAAAAAAACCCTAACTCCTTGGGCCTGAGGCCTATTTAAAGGACCTTAAGGCCTATTATTGCAGCTACTCTTATGGAAGGAAACCCTAAACCGTGTATGAGACCTTGGAGTGAAGAAGAAAGCTATTGTGAAGCTTTGTGGTCATTTTGAGAGGAAAAAGTAGAGGGTCAAGCTAGTGGATCAAGAAGAGGTGTTGGATCTGCTAAGGTTTCATCTTCAAAGCATCAGGGGAGGTATAAATCTTGATTCCTTACCTCTCCTTAGTGTAGATTACTCATTTGTGGATACGTAGAGCTTTTCTTCTTCATATCTTTTGGGGGATTTGTGGATTTGAGAGTTGTGAGGAAGTTTAACCTTAGATTTGGACCCTAGGAGGTCCCAAACGCCTTATGACCCATGTTTTTCTCAATTTTGTTGAAGCTTTTGGT